GGGGGGGGCAGCGTGTTGACTCCACCCGCCGTGCATGCCCGAGGGTCCGAGGGGATATAAAGTGATTTAAACTGTAATGTGTGTGCCATGCCGGGCAGGGGTGCCCTGTGCCGTGGCCGGCGGCGGTCGACGAAGGAACGCCGACTCGCCGTCGAGCGGACAGCGGGGCGGGGAATGTATCGGCCCCTGGAGGTTCCAGGCGGCTCCAGCAGCGGGGGCCGCACGGCACTGGAGATGAAGCAAGGGGGCTCGTGTCTCCAGTGGACCGGGCAAGGAACTAGGGGAGGAGGGGGGGAGGGGGCGGTCTGCACGGTCGACTGCCCATAGCCACGGCTGCGGTCCGCCAGGCGTAGCGACCTAGCCGATATGACAACTTGGTGCTCACGGAACTTGTCTTACGGCCCCCCGCGACAAGCGCCCCAACTCCATACCTCGCACCCCCGCGGGAGCCTATGGTGTCTCAAACTTGACTTGCGGGGGCAGCAGCGCAAGTCTTGTTCAAACTTTCGCTTGCCACCGCCGTCTCGCTTGCCGAGCAGTTGGCAGTGTAGCCATGATGATTCACGATGAGCCGGGGAAGGGCGTAAGGCGGTGGAGACGCGAGGGCGCGAGGGGGGCGGTAATGGACGAGAGAGGTTAGGTCGGGTCGTAGATACAAAGCGCTCTATACGCCCCGCCCAGCCAGCGCTGCTTACGACCAGCCGCGCTTACGGCGGACCGCTGCTGACGCTCGTATATCACACGCCATACGCACTCACCCCCCCCCTCTCTCTCTCTCTTTCTGCTCCGAGATGCGCCTCCACACCCTTCCCTCTTTCTCTTCTCTGCCCCGACACCTACAACAAAACTATATTTGTAAGTGTCTTGCGACTGCGCGCTGCCGCGCGTAAGAAACGTACCCCACCCAACCAGAAAAGGAACACCCCGCAGCATAAAGAGCGCCTCCGTATACAGTATGCTATTCTGCGCGAGGGAATTCCATCAGGCCGGGGGGTAAAGTGCCGCCGCGTGGAGGGGACAGCGACGTGACGACTGGAAATGCAAAAATGTTGCACGCGTATCTCTTTCTTTGGAAGAGAGCGCTTTCGCAGTCGCACGGGCCACTCTCCTCTCTCTCTCCCTCCATCCCCCTCTCCCTCCCACTCGCCGCCCTATATCAGCTATCTGCGGCTCTCCCCCACCCACGCAAGCTTTATCTGCCTCTCAGAGGAGAGGCGCTCTCGGCCTCGGCGGCGCCGCCGCCGTTGCAGGAAGAAAGCCACTACATTTCCCTACAACACAGTCCTATCGGGCCGCCGCACCCCGCCCAGCCCGGCCGCGGAGGCAGTCTAGACGGCGTGCATGTGACTCAGTCAGGAGCCCCACCGAGCCGCGCGGAGGGGCGCTCCCGCTATCGGGCGCTGCCGCCCCCCCCCCCCCTTTCCCTCCCCTTCACCAAGACCAACGCAATGACTCTATTTACGACTGGTGCGTTTCGCTTGCGTGCGGTATGCGCCCCATGCACATGACTGCAGGCCCCCCCCCCCCCGGACACACGCATCCCCTCGCGCCGGCTTACACGGGCCGCAAACACTTAAGTATCAAGGGGAAAGTTCAGTTCGGGGCCCTTTGCGTAGCCAGAGTGCATGGGAAGGGGGAATGTAAACAGCAGAGACACATTCTCTCTGCATCTCTCTCTGGCCAACTCTCTCTCTCTCCCCAACGCATACGCTCAGCCATCGCGCGGCGGTGCGGTGCGGAAGGGTGGAGTTTCCGCAGCGCCGCGCTGGTGGTGCTGGTCGATGTGGCGACCAGAGAGCAGCCGGCGCGGCGCGGGGAGAGCAGAGCAGCCATGCATCATCACACGCATGTGCACGTCCCCGTGTGCGCCAGCGCAGCGCAGCGCCACGCCCGCCCATCAGTGTGTGACACAAGTCACACGGCCGACGAAACCTACAGGCCGTCGCGTCGCACACGCGCGTGACAACCACGGCGGCACCATGCAACAAAAAGGTGTGCGACAGCCATTCCGAGAGTGTGTAATAGTAATTCCGTCCATATTCTGCACCACAATAAAACATAAAAGTGAATAACACCCTGTGTGTGACACAGCTGCAGCAAGCTGCAGCCACGCACTTCTATTTGGGTCCTGGGTGTAAAATCCGTGCCCCTCTCTCTCTCTCTCTTACACACACACATTCTCTCTCTCTCTCTCCTCCTCGTACTACCGGCCACCGCCTCCAACGCCGCCAGCTCTGTAAACGCGGCCGCGGCCGCGGCCCCGCGGCAAAGCCCCCTGTGCGAGGCTACTCCGAGCCGCCGCCGCCGGCCGGGCTAGCCATACCCGCCCAGCCATCAGCCCAGCGGTCCGAGGCGCTCCGCGGGCCACACCGCACGTGGGCGAGGAGACGGGGCCATGGGCGCGGCTGGGCGACGGGCCCGGCTACATATATACCGACGGACGCGCTCCCTCCGCACTTCAAATAGGGATTTAACGACAGCTCGGGCGCGCCGCGCGCTTGCTCCCGGCCCTTGCTGCTGGACCACAGCACCCGCTCCGTAAAGCGACCCGTGGCCATAGAGGCGCTCGCGCGCGCTGTCCGACGCACTTCATCTCTGCCCCGATCCCCACTCCTCCGCCTCACCCGACACTCACTCTTTACGGAGTACAGGCTCGTAGACGAGTAAATCGCAGCCCCGTCCGTGGCGTGTCCGTCCAGCAACAAGGCCGTGGAGAGGGTCCCCGACACGGCCCGGGTCGCGTCC